ACGTCAGCTCAACTCATATCATTGTGGGAAAATTCTTCTTCTGCCAGTCCTTCCTCACCTTAAACGAAATTAGTGAATACATCTCATATTACTGATTAACTGGTAGTCACGAAAAAAACAAGTAATTCGAAAAATAAAGCTTAGGGAATATTCACTCGCATAGCTCAGAATTTACTAATAAAGCATATATCAAGACTAGGGCCAAGAGTATCATTTGAAACATACAAATCAGTGTCGTGTTTTCTAAGTCGCCTTTTCGCGTCGAACGGCAACGCTTGGAAGACACTGGAGCTGTAGATTGTGCCGCTCTTCTAGCTGAACTCGTGCTAGTGGATATGGATTCTTCGCTTTTCCGAATTCTAATTACTTGGTTCACCATGGCAGGATGAAGAGGCTCTTTTGTTGCACCTTCATCCAAGGTTGGCACCAACTTTTCAATTCCTGATAAAGTCATTTTTTTAGGGTCATCTGTACTAGTCCGAGAAGACACATCGTTTCTAGGTGGTCCAGATAATCGACGCTCCACTTGACTTAACCAACTAGGAGATTTGCTAGAAGCCTTCGCGGTGATAGCCCGAACATCTCGTAGGGAAACGTGGGTCTCATCAAAGTTGCATTGATCATCCAGAGCCAGATTTGTATTTATATAACCATGCTTATCATAAACTTGTCCTTGATCATCAGGAAATGTAGTCCGATTTCTGGCGCCGGCTTTAAAGAGGTGGCTAGAATTAGTCTTGCTTGGCGACGAGTGAAACGAACTGGCAGAATTAGATTGGGCGAAAATCATTTGGGAAGAAACCAAGCTGGGAGGACTTGAATTCTTCTTCTTGTGGTTGGAACTAAGTCTAGTAGTTCTCCAAAGACGTATCACAATCTCCTTCGGATGCTTTAAGTGTCTGCAATAAAAGAAAAAGCCTTAAATTTGTCAGCAAATGGAAAGAATATATAAATATATATGTTTCAATTATAAGCTTACAATGCAATGGTAAATTATTTCCCAAATTAGTAAGTATTTCTTTCATCCTAGTAACAAGTATTTTTTTTGTAAGCAAAATTTTTAAATAAAGCGGGTAAATAAAAATAGCAATAATGAATTCTGATCTCATCCGGAATGATAATAATATACAGAGACCGTTGAAATCAGTGCCAATTTGGGAAGAGAAAGATTCGAAGATTCCTTTAAAAAAACTTATATATAAGCAATAATTTTTCTAACAATTTGGGCAACCAAATATGCGAGCGAAAAAAGATAAGCGTAAATATGAAGACCAAGATGTTGTGGTCTCTATTTAAGTGATCTGACTTCGGTTTCGCAACTCGGTTGTGCTGTTGGAGAGACTTAGTTGGACGCTATAGTAACTAACATTGTTACCAGCGATGGACCGTGGACTTGGTACATTTTCAGTCATTTCATCGGCCTCGTCAGCCAGTCCTGCACCAAACTAAAACTCATCAAAGGGACAAGTAAAGTCAGTAATTTGACCAACTTTCCATAGATTTGGATTTGCTGATCCGGCTCAGGCCTCCTATCCGGATCTCCTTCATGGGCCCGGAGATCGGTAGCGTATGGCTTACTTACTGGCTGACTGATTTCATTCAGTTTCCATTCCAGTATGCGCTCTTTCACAAGACTTTAGAGGCATGTACACTGTCACCTCACCGAGTAGATCACAAAGACTGATAGATTTCTAGTCAATTAAGCCAAATTTCGGTGACGATTGTGATTACCCGTATCCCTGGTTACCTGACCGTCATATCCTCAAAGTTGTAGTCATTTCTTCGAGGGGACTGCACTTATTGAGGAGGTCCTCGCTTGATTCCAGAAACTTCCTCAACCACTTCCTTCTCAAGATCCCTATTAATCTGGTAGACGATAGATCCATGATCCAGGCGTCTCCTTTTTGCGTGTCTAGTCGTATCCTTGTTTTCTTCCAGTTGCTTAGGCAAAAGACAACTCTGACTTCTTCCAATCTAATGTTCATTAAATTTTTTTTTCACATTTAAGTATTGTTTCGAGACTACCAGTAAATCAGTAATATGAGATGTATTCACTAAATTTCGTTTAAGGTGATGAAGGACCGATAAACGAATTTTCCCATAATGATATGATTCATGATCCAGGCATCTCATTTTTGCTTTTCTTGCCGTATCCTTGTTTGCTCCGAGTTGACTTAAGCAATAGGCGAATTTATCGCTAAATCTACCTTCCTCTAATCTCTTATTCACTATTTTTCCCTAAAGGATGTTAATGACCTCGCTAATCTTCCGTTTATTTGTATTTTTACCGCGTGAGACCTTTATTTCAGTTACGTTCCAATTAATCTCGTGTCCAGTCCGTGCGATGTATTCCGCTAATTCTGATCTTTCGGTATCCATTTTTATGCATAGCCTCTAATGTTCATTGATTTGTATGCTGATTTTTCTCTCTGTTTCGCCAAAATATTTCTGTTTGCAGACGCCACATGCAATGCAGTAAACTCCCTTTTGTCCACGA